AAGTTGTAAAAACTTGCACCACAAGGATGCTCCCTCCACTCTCTCCTTCTCTGACCACTCTTGTCCATAAAATGACAACTAATACAACCACAATACTACCTCAATCCATACCATGCGTACCACTACCTCACTCATTCTCTCATTTTCAAATTTTTGCAAAAAAAAAACACCAAACAAGAATTTCACCTCAGTAACTACTCTTTTTACCTCACAAATCCACCCTATATATTCTAAAAACCCTAGCCAACACAAGGACAAGACATTTTTTACAGCCAACCGAGCCAAAAACTCCATATTTTCTTCAAAAATCTCTCTGTTTGAATTTCTTTTTTCTGAGCATTTCCTTGTTTTTCATTGCTTGTACCATTCCTCTAAATATCCCCAGGAGCTAAAGGAAAGGTTTGGAGTTTTGTTTGCACGCAAAAAAGAAGCTTCCAAGTGCTCATTGTAGGTAACTTTCTCTTATCTCTTTCACGTTCTTATAACATGTTATTTAATTTGTGATGTTTGTTTTTTATGGTCTAGAAACATAAGAAGCATGTTTTTGTTGTTGTTGTTGTTGTTGTGTCGTTTCAAGCAAGTTCAGTTTGTATGTCTTTTTTTTCATGGCTCTTTTTTACTGTCTTAAAGGGTTCTAATGAGAAAACTAAGGTCAGAATCATGATCAACATGAAAAACCATGCAGGATAGTATATTTGGTTTTGTGATCTGGTGAGATTTTCAGAGAGCTCCAATGAGGGTCACCAGAGAAGACGACCAGAGCCCTAGCTCGGGCGTCTGATGTGTCTTGGTGGTTGACCCCTTGACCTTGCGACGTGTTCGTGAGATGGCACTGTGTAGGATCTGACATGGATTAGTGAAGCGCTTGCGTGTCCTTTTTTGTTTTTGGTTTGGATTAAAGTTGGTTTGGACTTTATTTAGTTTTATATTGGCACCCCTTTATTTTTTGCCCAAGCGCACTTTACACATGACTCATGTTATTCTGGTTTTTACTCCTGCACCCCCATGGCCTATGTTCTTCTTTTTATTTTATTTCTTTGTCATTTTCAATTTGATTCTTATTTTATTTGTTAAATCCATTTTAAAAATACTTAAAAATATATTTCTGATCCTTCATTGTGTTGAGATATATTTCATGATTTTTATTTTATTTTTTAATTATATTTTCTATTTTATTTTTAATTAATTAGTGAAGTGCTTTTACATGATTATCCTTGGCTAGGGCTTTAGTTCGTGGTGCTTTATGCTTATCTTTTTACCTCAATCTCTTGAACATGTTTTGATATATGAATGATGAATGTTTGAGTGTTATTTTAGTGCCTTGATGATTAATTCTTGGATGATTCTTAATTGGTTTTGTTTGGGCTTTGATATATGCTCGATTAGTGACATACTTGATCTTATTGACTTGATTTTGAGGATGCATTTATGCAATGCTTTTGGGATCTCTTTCCTACTTGATTGTGATTGATTTTCCATGAGTTAGAGTCCTAAACTTGTGTTTGTTTGATCATTGAACTATTTTTAATTGAGGTTTCAATTTAAAGATGTGTTGAACATGAACTTGCCTAATGCTTGACCTAGTTTTAGGACTTGCTTCTTAAATGGATTTTCTTTGTGGTTCATGACTCTTATGACTTGGTTGAGGTTCTGATTTTCATGTTATATGCCCATTGTATGATCATTTTCCACTTCTTAATTAATGTGTTCTCTTGTATGGATGATTTGATTGTTCCTTGAGCATGATTTGAACTTGATCTTTCTTGAACTTGCTTGATGTTTTGGTTTTGAATGTGGATTGAATCAATCGTGTTTTCTTCTGACCTTCATGTTATGGCGTGCATTACTTGATCAATTTTCACTTTGTACCTTGATTGAATACATGTTTTCATTTGAATATGATCATGGTATGAACTTGTTTAGTCTTGATGCATGTTTGAGGTTGATCTTTGTTGTTCCTTCTTGAGATTCTTGAGTTGATATTTGAGATGATATACATGGCCATGTTACTATCCCATTTGGATTCATACCTTGAGTTTACATGTTTACTTCTTTTAGGTATCCCTTTGCATGATTATTTGTGTGACAATTGTTTGAGTTTGGATATGATGCATGACTTGAATCTTTTTGCTCATTCATTGATCATTAACATGAGATGAATGGAATATGACATGGCTACTACCCTACCTTGGTTCTCATATAATTTGACTTCATCCCACTTTGCTTGTTGATTGACAATGCTTCTTGATTGACTTTAAGTCATTTATGTATGCATTTGTGCTTTGTTTTGCCTAATTGCTTTGACTTCTAATCTTTGGTTATGGTCTGACATATGAGCATGCTTAAGTTACTTTGACATGATGTTGATGTTACTTTGTGTGATTGGACCTAATTTTTGCACATGTTTGATGTTTATGCCTATTGGGTTGAACTTCCTTGTTTGCTTACTTGGTTTTTCATCTTCTCCTTCATCTCTCATTCTTCTTTCTTTCTTTATTTTCTTGAGACTTGGTTAAGTCTTGAGTTTGATTTTATTTGTGATTGATTAGTATAATGTTTACTTGTGTTTGTTCACATGGTCCCTTAGGATTCCTAGTTCCACTTAATTTCTGATTAAGTTGGAGGTAGGAGAGACATTAGGCTTTCAATCCTTTGCATGATAACAATTATGATAGTCCCTCTTTGACCTCAACTTTAGGTCCATCATTTTTATGATAACATTAGGTAGACTTCTTTTTCATCTCAATCTTAGGACCACTTTGTATGACAACATTAGGATCCAATGTTCCTTAGTGTTTTCTTTTCACCTTTGAGTCCCTTCTCTTCTCATCTCAAAACAATTTCAATACACTTAATAAGGACGGTGCACATTTTGCGCCACGAGCCTTAAGCATATGGGAAATTATGAGTGAGTGGTCCCTCCTTATTTGTCTAGGTTGTTTAGTGTACGTCCCGTCTGGGGGAGATATGCGATGCATTCGTTCCTATATCATAGTCTTTAATACAACGTGAATCTCAAACCAATCAATTCACTTCATTAAAACTCACAAACAAACTTCAAACCTCTTTATCCTTCGGGATTTTTCTTTAAACTCATTTTCAGAAAATAGTACATTATTTTTTCGTTCTACCGCAAATAAGCATCGACCCTAACTGCTGAAATGGGAGCTTAATATCGCTTATAAAAAACACTTACCCAACCTGTGGTTTTGTACCCAAACTAAGTTTGCTCTGATTTCTCATACCAGATGAGGATACGTAGGCACAAGACAAGGATGTCTTGGCGAGCAACCTTCCCCCATCACCCGTAGTTTTCTGAACTACGTCGACTTTGACTTTCCCATTGCATGAAGGAATACATAACAAGTGTGGATATCGTTGAGTACAATAGACGTGAGGGTGCTAATACCTTCCCCTTGTATAAGTGACTCCTGAACCCAAGATTTGGTTGCAATGACCTTGTCTTCTCCTTTCTTTCAGGTTTTCTTCGATCATTTCCTTTCCCCTCATGGGATAAATAACGTTTGGTGGCGACTCTTCTGTTTTTTCCGCCAGGTGTTTTTTTGGAGTTGCGACACCCTCTTTACAAGGATTTTATTACAAGTGATGATTCCTCAAGTAAGTCTATTATCCAGTTTACTTATATCAAATGGCATCTCATTGAGAAAATTGATGAAAAATCTATTGGTTTTTCTCTTTATTTGGGAAAATTTGCTCATAAAGTGACTAGCTTGTATCCCTTTTGTGAGATCCCCAGTAAGCTTGCCTAGGCTTCATATTTATCCAAGTGACGTGGATGTGTGTTCCCAGTGAATTTCTGGACACCTTTTTCCCCGGTGATGTCTTGTGACTCTTTCACTCCCCAACAAAGTGGATATGCTTATATATTTCCCATTGGAGCCCATCTTTTGGTTCAACCTTTGATGAAGATGTTCTTGTTTTGGTCCAATCCTAAGGCTTTGAGGGTTGTGTCCTATATTTTTCTTCAGAGTGTCAGTCAGTCATTGCTTGAACTTGTTGATTCACTGCTCTGGATATTTCCCATTGGAGATCGTCTTTTCGGTTCAACCTCCAGTGAGGATCTTTTCTTCTAAAATGCCAATCGTTCATGGATTGAACCTGTTGTTCCATCACTTTAGATGTCTTATTTTATCTTCTTTCCCCAGTGAAGACCATTTTTTTTCAGTTCTACCTTCATTGAGGATCTTTTTCTTTCTAGAATGTCATCAGGTCATGCTTGTACTTGATGATCAATCATTCTAGATACCTCCATTGGAGACCATCTTTTGGTTCTACTTCCAATGAGGTTGCTTTATCTTTTGTCCTAGAGTGTCAGCCAGTCATTACTACTTATTTAATAAAGAGTCTTATTTAAAAGTTCCAAAGCTCATCACTACTTATTTAATAAAGAGTCCATTTTAAAAGTTCCATTTCAATCTCATTTTGTCTAAAAAAATATAAAAAATCCATGTTATTTCATACAAGTCCATCATAATTCACAAAAATATGAAAAGCCCATAATTGTTTTGTTTTACAAATTACAAGAAAAGTAAAAAAGAAAAAGAAAAAGAGAACAAAAACCCAATGCAACAGCCTGCACATCACAAACTAGTCCTGCTTTCTCCAAAACCCTTTGTAACGTGACCTGTACAAGCCAACAAAAAACTCTTCAAGAAGCAACAACAACTACACAATTCTGCCCTTGCACAACAAAATAAAAAACTACGTTTACACCAAAAGGGAACCTGCTACCTACAGCATCATTCAAGTTCTGCACTATCCTCCACACTACTACACAAACTGCCAAACCTACGTTAGTGAAAGCAACTCATCAACAATGAGACAAAGACAAAAAACAATGTTTGATAAATTGATTTAAGAAAAGGAGAAGGGACAACAGTAGGGGAGGACGGAAAAAACTGAGAGGGTGAGAAAAGTCGCAGCAAAAAACCAGAAGGAAAAAAAACATCTCCTAGTTTCCCCTCATGAGACTATGATCTTCATATGTTCGTGAGCCACCTATCCACAACCAAACAAAACTGTCCAAGAATTCTGCAACCTGCATCAATAACCACAGACCTGAATATTTGAAAGCAACAACACAATACCACAAAAAAATATTTTAAGTTAAAGATGAGAAGAACGATTCATAAAAAGGCAAGAGACTTGACAAACTGAAAACAAATAAAAGAAGAAAAGGATCACATATTTGCTTTTGCGAAAAAGATCTCCCTTTTCACTGGGGTCAAAATAAAAAAAAAAACATATTCTAAGAAAAAAAGCCTCATCGCAAGCTGGCCTTCTTTCCCATCATAGCTACCATACAAAACCATCTCTAACCATTAAAACCATCTTCTTTCTTTCAATTTTTGGACCGCCTTCTAACACCTAAATCAACAACCTCATAAAACCACTAAAACCTCCACGCGAAACAAAAAAGACCACTACAACCTCACTTACCTTCCACCATTCGTTGCCGTAAGAAGAAACAAGGAGAAGAGGAGAGTGAGAGAACACCGAGAGTTGGAAAAGGAGAAGCCGCGGCCGTCGTTGCTGTAGAGTGGAGGAGGCGACGCGTTTGTGACTCGGAAATGGAAGAGGTAATATTTAAGAGCTTTGGTTCGATCTTTGTTTCAGAATTCATGTTTATGCGTTTTGGAATTTTTTTCGTTCGTGTGAGGGTTATGTGAGCTTGCTATGAAATTTTCCCCAAGGTTTTTCCTTCTTTGACTCTTTTAATCCAAAACGGGTCAGGCCCACGGCCCATGATCCGCCCAGGTTTAGGATGGGCTTATCATCTCGTTTCATTCCGACCCATGCTGAAGAAGAGAATTTTAAAAAAAATTGTTTTCTTTTCTTTACGTTCTAACTTTTAATTATTTATTTAGACTTAGTTAATTTTACTCTTTTAATTATTAATCTAAAACTAATCCAAAAAGGATTTGTTTTCCATCATTTTAATTAATGTTAGAATTAGTTTTAATTTTTAGGATTAGTTAATTTTGTTTTTTTAAATTATTAATATAAAAAATAACCAAATATGAATAAATTTTTTAAAATCATGATTATGATCTAAATATATATAATTTATTTTTGATCTTTTCAATTTTTAAATTTCTACAAATCTCTTTGGCTACTAACTTGTGACCCCTCTCCTTGTTGATACTTGTAAAAATTTCTTGTTGAAATCTTGTTAATGACTTTCTTGTTCCTGTCATGATTTTGATGCCTATTTTGCTCGATAATCTTTTTGTGATCATTCCAAAGGAAATGACCCCTTTTGTTGACTGTCATGTCATGGTTAGGGTAGCCTTGTCCACCATTCCCTCGAGACTAGTTTACATTACCCTTTATCCTAGCGGATTGGAGTCGCCGTACTCCATGCAAGTGTCATGGTGATGAACACTTACTTTTCTTATTTAGCCTAGCCTTAGGATTTGAGTCGCCGCACTCCATGTAAGTGTCATGGTTATGAACACTTACTTCCCTCTGGAACCTTGATCATTATCAAGAGTTCCCCATCCTTAGTTGGGTGAACTACGGTTGCTCTGATTTCATCCTAGTCAGGATACGTAGGCACGAGATGCGATGTCTTGGCGAGCATACCTTGTATACACCTTAGGTATTTCTCTTAGCACATTTCCCTTTGCAAGCAAACTTTAACATAACACAAATACTTACAAAAAGGTTTCTGTAGAGTACTATAGATACTTAGGATGCTAACACCTTCCCTAGGTATAACCAACCCCAAACCTTAGATTCTCTAGCTTTGTTGTTACATAGCGCACTTAAGGTTTTTTTTCCCGATCTTTACCTTTTCCTTTGGATAAATCAAAGCTCGGTGATGACTTTCATGATTTGTGATTCAAGTTAATTAATAGTTTAATATCTGATTCTCACCGCAACAAAAACCATATTATAAAGCATTCTCATCATTTTCAACCTTTGTTCTATATATAGACATAATTGAACTACACATAATAATTTTTGGATTGAATGACCATCTAAATTAGGGTTGGCAATGTCTGATTAGGTTGGTGTAACCGAGAATATTGGTTTGGGATCTTGTGTGCTTTCAAATAAGAAAACAAAGGTATATTAGTTGTCAAACAAGGGCATGCATTAATATATAAGAGAGAACAATGCAAATTTTAAATGAAAAAAAAAAGAAGCAAAAAGATAGAAACAATAATGATGGTGATTTAAATAAAAGTTGACCAATATATGCAAAAACCAAAACAAATTGCTTGTTTTCTCTCACTCTAAAAAATGCAGAAACAAGCTCATTTAAAACCAACAAAAAAACATCTCCACTATTGGCTTTGTTTCCATAATACTTCAACAGAAAAAGAACGATAATAGTAATAAAGTGAAACAAGATCTAAAGTGGAATACTGATGGATGCAGCGCCGGTCCAGTTCATGTGGTATATATGGTGTAGATCGGAGGTTGTTGCAACTTGAAGTTGCAGCACGAAGGGGATGAAAGAGCAGCTCGAACATGTGAGGTAACGTGTGAGAAGTCTGAATAAGAGGATCGGAAAAAAAAACACTAAGTTTTTTTTCCTTTAGCTTTTAACAATCATTTTTTGAATTTTGTTTGAGAGATGTGAGTGGATGTAGGGAGATGAGTATTAAAAGAAGGGAGTTATGAAGTTTTTAAGTGATCTTTAAAGGAGTGTTGCAGTGCGGCTTTGTGGAGGTTTCAATGGTAACTTTGGGTGGTACGGTGTCAGTTGTGCTAGATGGTGGTGCGTGATGTGCAGGGCAGCAAAAGCCGGTTGTGGTTGATTCGAAGCTTGGTAGAAGGTGAGATATCACCAAAGGATTGTGGTTTAGGGTGAGTTAGGTGATGAGTAATTTAAAGAGTGAGGGGGAAGAAGGAATCATTCTCTCGTATGAAAGAGTAGTCAAGAGGTGGAAATTGGTTTCACGCGTAGCTGATTAAGCAGCTTTATTTGTAAGAAGGAGAGTTAAAAAGTGTTAGAATGAGAGTATTTCAATCCTGAAGAATGCGAGAGAAAGGGAATATTGAGTGGAAGTGGGGTAGTGGGTATATTGGTGAGAGAAAATGAGGCGAGATTAGTGAGGTTTTTGCAGAAGAGAACCTTTTTTTTGGATTCTGGTGGATAACCTCTTAATTTTTCTTTCTGTTTTTCAAAGGGTTTCAATGTGAGATAGTTTATCTACATGTGGGACCATGCGACATTATGAGAGAGGAGACAAAATGAAAATAAGGTGAGTGGATTTGTTACAAGCTCCTTCAACACTAGCTGTCATCTTTGGAAAGAAAGAGTCTTCATTTTCACATGGCTTGTTACAAGAGGATCCAATGTAAAAATTATCAACTTTTTTTTTGTTTTGAAATTATTAGAAACAAACTTACTAATTAAAAATAAAAATTAAATTCTCAAAATAGTTTTAATCTAAATATCTAAATAATCCTCATCAATTACACTATTTATTTTGACTAAAAAATGAAATAAAAGGATTAAACATGAAGAAAAAAAAGATCGGGCGCAAAAATGTCTGAAAAAACAAAATGAACGCACTAAAATGATCAACGCAAAATAAACCTCTCGGAAAAATATAGCGTTTGGTCAGATTTTGAAATAAATTTTGACTGGTTAAAAGGCTCAGACTGATCAAAATACGACTAAAAAAGTTGTCAAAAAATAAAACGAGCACACCAGGTTAAACTACGTCAACCGTAGATTAATGATACTGACATCTGCAAGCTTGATTTTGACACTTTTTGTCCACTTATTTTACACGTAATTGAGAAATGATTCAACTAGTTTGCCTGTAGATCCGAAAATTTATTCTGGTTGTCATTTCAGACATTATTCATGATGAAAGGCATGTTATGCATATAGGTGATGCAAAGTAAAGATAAATTTGAGGTATGCCAGATGCCCTTGTCAGACCCTCATTTTCACCCTAACCCTAACCTTACATATCATAGTATTTGCATCATATAGGCATCCCTCTATGTCATAATCATTCATGCTTTGCTTTGGTTCTAAGGATTGGGATCAAGGCATCTTGGGTTTCATCAATCAAGGAAAAGGAATTGATCTTTCAAAGCAATGAGCAAGGAGATATCCTCAACACTATGGCTTTCTCAAGATCCAAGGTCCTCACACACCTCAAAGTATCTCAACAAGGTCACCTGTCCACCTGATAACTAGGGCTTCAAGAGATTGAAGGTTGATCATAGCTCCTATCTTGTGGCTCTAGATTAGGGTTTCTGGGCAAACCAACCTAAGGTGGAATTCTTTGGCAAGAAATGTCTCCATGGTTCAAAATATACCTCAAGTCATCCATACAAGCATATTGGTTCATCACAAATCATGTCAAGAGCCTCATAAGTGAATGGAGGGAGTTTTGGATTCATCTGGCCAAAAGTCAATTGGTGTCTTTACAAAGGTCAACTCTTGGGATTCTAGGTCAAACATGAGCTTTCCAAGTCATCATCTATGATCTCATGAAGTTTGATCAAGAGAAATTGAGTGGAATCATTAAATCAGGGGAAATTGCTAAGATTAGAGTTTATAATTTTTTCCTAAGTCATGAAGAAACCCTAGTTTGGTGCTGACTTGCCAAGGTCATAACTCCCAATCTAGACATCAATTTTCTTTGATCCAAAGATCAATTTAAAGAGCTTTTCCCATACTACAACTTTGTCAATGAGGATGAATTCCCAAAAAAAGCATGGATTTCAAGTTATGATAGCATGAAGTTGTGAAAAACAAGATTTTTGAACTTTATACTTATAATTTTTTCTAAGTATGGAATCCCAACTTGGAGGGTGAGTTTCCAAGGCCATTTTCTCATGGTTCTAGGCTTCAATTCAAATATCTTGTAACATGAAAGTTGTTAGGCATTCTTCAAGGTTTCCATTAATGTCAAGAACTCCTCAATTGGATCAACACAACTTAAGTTATATGGTTCCAAAGTTAGGATGTTCAAGTTATCAAACCTTATGAGGTCAACTTCAAGTGCATTTTCCATGAGTTTCCAAGTCTTAATACAAATTATTTTCAACATGAAGATTGTTCCTCTTATCTCAAGCTTTTCATAGATAACAAGATCTCTCAAATTGGATCAATAAATCTCAAGTTATGGCCTTTCAAAGATAAGGTTTCAAAGTTGGCAAAAGTCTATAACTTAGAAAAAGTTCTAAGTTACTTTGGACAAAATTTTGGACATGACTTCCACTTAATTTTCCCCAAGCTTCATTTCATCTTGCTTTGAACATGAAAGTTGTTCATTACCTTCCCTACTTTCATTTGAGCCAAAAATCTGATGAATTGGATCAAAATCCATAAATATATAAATGTTCAACTATGGCTATGTGAACTTGATTTTTAGGGCACCTTCATGTGACATGCCTTGAGGTTTTCTTGCAGCACACTCTTGTAACATTTTTTTTACACGCATCATGTGTCAAAACCTTTCCAAAACATTACCTAATAAAGCTAAACCACTCACATACTTCATGTACCTCATTCTAATGTGTTTTGCCAAAAAGAGGAAAATGCCAAAAAAGCATAAATCTTGTACACTAAGGATTGCTTTTCCACTTTATCATTCGAATCCTCCTTACAATCCTTTGCCACTCACAAAACCATCATAAACAACC